TCACTCTCCTCTCTGAAAGCCAAAACACTCCTTCTTTGATGAAATCAGAAAGCAGTTTCAGTTCTGAGTCACAATTTGTTTTTAAACATGGGATAGGAAGGTAATGGGGAAAGTAAACCCATGGGAAAGGCTTGAGGTGTGGCACAAATGGGGAAGGGTTGAGGTATAGCACAAATGGAAGCAACAGAGGTGAAGGCACCCAGCACAGAACCTGGCACACAGCAGATGCTCAGTGGGCATTATTCAGGAAGGAAGCTTGTTTTCTTTTGAGCAGAGGGACTGCTAAGCTTGAGCCAGGCTGAAAGAGAGGGCATAGAAAGGGATTTTGTCAGGAAAGGTGGTCAGACACACACACACACACACACACACACACACACACGATGGAGGAAGGAATTGAGTTCAGGCCAAAGCTGTGGAATCAGACCCTGGAACAGAATCAGCCACACATCAGCCAGAATGAGGAGTCAGAGAAGCCTGGAGGACACATGGCAATTTAGGGGGTTGGTTCCCCACTCCAACCAGACCTCTCTGGCCTCTGACATCCCAAGTTTCCCATCCAACACCTCTGAGGCTGAGGAAGGGGTGTGCCCGTGCCTCAGCCCTGACAAAGGCCCCATTCTCTCTGGCTGGCCACAGCTGGAGTCCACGTAAGGCAGCAAGATCCCTGGCTGGGAGCCAGGAGGCCTGCGTCCCACCCAGCACTACTAGTAACTTGACATGTAAACTTGGGTAAGTTACTCTCCCTCTGCAGTCCTGAGTTTTCCCTTCTATAAAATAGCAATACCCACATTGTCTCATCTTCCTCCCAGGGTGGTGTGTGGCTCTGCTGAGTTATAAATGATGGAGAAATTGCCTTGTGAATCACCCCCCAAACACTAGCCACCACCATTATTAGTCACTACCATCATCACTGTTCTTCAATTCACAACACCAACTGTCCTCCACCCGTATCTCCTTCTGCCCTCTGGAATGCAGATGAATCAAGAGTGGAAGGTTCCCAGTGTTCACACTAGTCCTTCCCCAATTCTTTTTTCTCCTCCCCAACATTCAGCCTTTTTGTAGCTGGTATTGAATTAAGGGAAGGCCCCTTGGATGCCTGTAAACCCTAGCTACTCAGGAGGCAGAAATCAGGAGGATCATAGTACGAAGCCAGCCCAGAAAAATAGTTCTCAAGACCCTATCTTGAAAACACTCAACACAAAAAACAAGGCTGGCAGAGTGGCTCAAGTGGTAGAACACCTGCCTAACAAACATAAGGTCCTGAGTTCAAGCTCCAGTACTGCCAAAAAAAAAAAAAGGGAAGGTCCCCACTTTCACCCCAAATATTCTCTCCATTTCTGACCACATGAAGTAGAAAGAGCCCTGGGCATCAAAGTGCTCAGAAAGTGGTTTAGGTACCTGCCTTCCCCTCTCTGACCTCAGCTGCCTTATCTGTCAAATGAAAGTGATGACGGTAACCTCACAGTAGTGCCTTGAGAATTACATGGGATTGTGTAGGTTAAAGAGTCCACTACAGTCCCTGGAACTCAAGATAGGCTCAGCATACACATATGGCCCTGGCTGCCTCAAATCCCTCTATGAACAGGACTTCTTTTGATCAACCCTTACCCTTTTTCTTCTTGACTTCTTTTTAAATGCAGGTACCCATGGGATACAAAAGTCACTGGCCTCATAAGTTATTGGAGGCTGAGCTGATGTTTCTTCCCATTGTGAAGTGAGATGAAGACTAACACTGCAAAGGCAGGCTTGGTTTTAGGAAAAGGGACCAAGCATTATCCTACTCTGCATCCTAGAGTCACCTTGTGACTTTCTTCCTGGCCCACTGAGTTCTTTGTTATTCTTACACCTTTGGTGTTACAGAAGAGGACTGACTTATGGAGGACAGGCTCATCAGTCCAAGGACCATTTTCCCATTGTCTGCAAGGGCTCTGGGACCTAGCTCCAAATCAGAGCTCCAGGTGCCATCCAGTGTTCACCAGAGATATTGCAGGAGAAAAGAAACCAAAGGCTGGCCTATGAGGTGGAGGAGGGAAAGAAGGAGCCTAGCCTGTGTCCTTCCTCAATGGCCTCCATCAGTTGAGTGCCCTGATCCAGTCTGACCCCCCAACAAGGCTTCTACCTGGTCCAGGTAATATTTTCTCACTGTGTGATCTTAAGCAAGAAACTGTCCTCTAGACCTATTGGCAGAAGATGAGGTGTCATGCCAGGTGCTATGTGTTACCCATAGCACACCAACTCATCACATCCAGGTAACATCTCAGTTACCCCCATCTGTCATACTCCAGTCACTTCTGATTACACAGTCACGCTTCACTCATGTGTAAGATCCTCCATGGCCACCTGTGGGAATTCCAACCCTCATTTAAGGCTTGGCTCAAAGATCTCCTTCAGGATGTCTCCCTTCATACCTGCCCTTTGTTCCAACCTCTCATCTAAAGCCCCCTCTTTTCTGCTACAGTTACAGTCGGGTGGACTTCAGTCCCTCCAACTTTAAGCTTCTCCAGCCCACAGGCTTTCCTCTACTTCTCTCCCTCTTCACCCAGCTGAGCATGAGGCCAGGCACAGAAGAACACCTGCTCTGAAGTCAGTCAGGATGGCATTAGCCCTGTATGGGAGCAGAAAAACACCCCCTCCCCAATGATGTCCACATCCTAATCCTTGGACCTGTGAGTAAACTTGTTACCTTACATAACAAAGAGGACTTTGCAGATATGATTAGGTTAAAGAGCTTGAAATAAGGAGATCATCCTTGATTATGCTGGTCATCACAATATAGTTACAAGGGTTCTGTATAGTAGAGGACAGGAGGGTCAGAGTCAGAGAAAAGGACATGATGATGAAAGCAGAAGTCAAAGAGATGTGAGGCCATGAGCCAAGGAATTCAGGCTGCCTCTAGAAGCAGGAAAAGGGAAGGAAACAGACACCTCCAAAATGTAGCTCTGCCAACCCACCTTAGACTTCCAACCTCCACAGCTGCAAGACAATGAATTTGTGTTTTTTCAAGCCCCTCAATTTGTCATAGCAGCAATAGGAAGCTAATACAACCTGGTTCAGCTTCTTACTAGTTACATGACTTTGGGAAATTTAGCTTCTCAATGCCTCTATTTCCTCATCTGTAAAATGGGAATGTCAAAGGCAGTAATTTCTTATCTCATGAGGTCATTGTGAGGATAAAATGAAAACACTTGCAAATCGCTCAAGACTAAATATGTTAGCTATTACTGTAAGAATAATCAGTAACTACCATTAACTGAGAACTTGGTATGTATCAGGCACAAGGTCAGTGCCTTAGAAGAATTTCCTAGAGTCTCCTCACCCTCCTGAGGGTACCAACTTCAGTCTCAGTTTTACAGATGGCAAAAACAGAGTAATTTGTCTAAAATCACTCGTGCAGTGAAAGCATTTTAAACTTTGTGGTTTCTTGCCTGCACATGCAAAAGAATACCAGTTTGTTCCTTGCTGGTAATGTGTTGTTTTGTTTTGTTTCTTGTGGAGGAGTGACAGAGAGAGGGCTACAGGCTGAGCCTAGGGTCCCAACTGATATTGTAAGAGGTGCTTAAACTGCTTTTGCTGAAAAGCATGGACTCCTTACTCAGGCCCACCAATGAACTAAAAGCAGGAAAAAGCATGGCATCTGTCCTTCATTGCGTATGTGTCTTTGCTCTAAGCCATTCTCTTTACAGTCACTTTGTGATTACCTTGGATTCCAGAAAGGACAAAACTGATAACATCTTCCTGACAAGGGACTGAAATTTCCCATAAGGAACAGTGAGACTTGCAGGACAGACCACCCCTCCAAATGAGGGCAATTACCTATAATGATGAGACTGCACCTTGGAGCAGGAGTAATCATGTCTTGGGAAACAGACTGTTCCCATCAAGTGATGACAATGATAAGATCTTCTCTTAAACTCTTATCAGAACCCTGGGACTGAGATAAAGGCCAGAACACACCTTTGACTGCAACTGTTTAATTATGCATACCTTACCTCTCTCCCCCTTCCCCCAGTTCTTTGTCCACTTAAACCTATAGCTCTGTATCCCAAAGAAGGCTAAAGATGGGCTGGGTGCGCACTCTGCCTCTTTTCACAGCATGTCCCAAGCCCTGCAATAAATCTCCTTTCTCTGCCTTCCCCATGCCTCTTTATTTGGCATATGGGGAGGAGTGGCCAGACCTGGCATGTGGAATCCCAGGAGTTTGGGCCTTGAGTCCAAAACCTCGGGCTCCAATACCTTCCTCTGGAGGGAGATAACATGCACGTGGAATTCACCTATTGGCCCCCTCACTCCTCCGACTATTTAGGAGTTCAATCACTGCCTCCCACTTCCTCACCCACTCTCCAGCCTGTTCCTACCAACTCTGAGCCAGATTTGGGGGCACCATGAAACAGGAACAGGCAAAAAACGAAGTACTTAATCCGATGAAGGATGGGGGACACAGACTTCCTCAGACCCCAAGGGTTCCCGTTTGAACCCCCCTCCCTTCCCGCATCCTGCATAAGGAGTCATCTGTTCTCGGTTGAATAAACAAGGAAGGGGAAACTGCGCAGGGTCCCCGCCCCCCGTCCGACCCCCGGACAATGCGCCTTTCTCCAAGGAGACGCCACCCGGGCGCCGCCACCGCGCGTTCCGTCTGGCCTCCCCTCCCCCTGGCAGGCACAGCAAGACCCACAAATCAATCCCGAGGAAACCGGTTTTGTTTTTTTAAGAAAAAGAAAACAAAAAAGAAATCCAACAAAGAACTGACAGCAGCACGCGGAGAGAGCGTGCGGGTCTAGCACGGCCCTCCTACCACCCACCTCTCCATCGCCCCCCGAAGTCTGGCTCTGGTCCAGGCAGGGCCAGATCAAGCGCAGCGCTGGGAACCCGCCAGCGCCTCCTGCCGGTCAGTCCAAGTCCCGCGGGGCTCAGGTTCTGCCCGGCGTGGGCGCTCCAAGGGTGCGCAAGGGGCGCAGTCCATCGAGCCGCACCCCAGCCTGCGTCGGGGCCATCGGGAGCCCTCACTTCTGATTGGCCAGCTGGTTCTCCAGCTCCTCCAGTCGTGCTGTCAGCTGGGCCAGTGAGCCGTTAAGGAAGCCCGCTGTGGTTTCAGGGTCCCTTCACCTTCCCTCCAGCCCTGCCTCCAATCCCAAAGGATATAATTCTGCGTCAGGCTCTCGAGCGCCGCCAGCGCGCGGCCTTGGAACTCCACCAGGCTTTCGCATTGGCACGGGCTGCGGAGTTCTGTCCCTGCGCCAAGGCCCTCCTCTGCAGACAGGGCAGAGAGTCAGGGGAAGGAGGAACTGTAGGAGGCAAAGCCAGCCCCTCCGATTTACCTCCGCCGGGCCTGTGGTTGAGAGGATGAGCTTTGGACTCAGACAGACCTGGATTGAATCCCAGCTAAGTAGCTGAGAGGTATTGGACAACTTATTCAACTTCTCTAAGCCTCCGTTTCCTCATCTGTAAAATGAATATGGCAGAAGCTATTCTTTGGTATTATGAGCATTCAATGGTTTATGTAAGTGCACACCACTTGCAAGAGAGTCTCTCAAACCTTACTGCTCATTGGAATCAGCAGAAGGGCTTGTGAGAACAAAGAGTCTGAGGCAGAGTGAGGAAGGAGCTGAGAATCCACAATTCCAGTGAGCTCCCAGGCGATGCTGATCCTACTGGCCCATGAACTTGACTTGAGTAGCCAGAGTCCAAGTGAAGCGTTGCAATGCAATGGCGTATGTGTTTGCTATCCAATGTGCCCTATGCAGTAGTCAAAAGCCACATGTAGCTGTTTAACACTTGAAATGTGACTGGTGCAACTGAAGGCCTAGTTTTTTTTTATTTTGTGTTCATCGATTGTAATTGGGTAGGTACAGGTAGCTAGCTACCAGATACCTTATTGGAAAGCACAGATCTAGAACATTGCCTAACAGCAGTAAACACTTTATTGTGTATTTCAACTAGACTAGTGGTTCTCACTGAAATTATTTAAATGTGTGCTGTTTTCAGTATTACAGATAGTGGAGTAGTAAGCACAATGCCTGGCACTTTCCCTTCATAAAGAGCCATTGTGACTGAAAGGTTCTCTCTTTCATGTTAGCCTCGTATGAGCCCTTAGCAAACTGATGTGTGTCATGTTATTAATATCATCAATAGCAGTCACATAAAGACTCCTAACTTTACAGTTGAGGAAACCAAGGGTCAGAGAAGATGGAGGATATGCCAGGATCAAACAGCCAATTGATGAAGAGCCTCTACCACAAAGTCCAGACTTCCCTTAGCATTCTAGAGCTGGAGGTAACCTTGAGCAGGCAGTGCCCTCCCCTCATACAAAAGAGAAAGTTAAGATAGGGTGGGGGTTAAGTGACTTGTCCAAAGTCACCCTGTAGATGTGAAAGTCAGGACAGGAAGCTCTGAAATACAGTGCCTCCACAGGGGGAAGATGGGTGGGAAAAGAGAGTGGGAGTGGGAGAGTGGGAGAGGAGAGAGGAGGGAGGGGAAGGAGGAAGGGGGGGTGAGAGAAAAAGAGAGAAAGAGAGAAGAAGAACGAGAAGGAGGAGAAGGAGGAGGAGGAGAAGGAGAGGGAGGAGGAGGAAGAGGAGAAGGAGGAGGAGGAGAAGGAGGAGGAGGAGGAAAGGACACATACACAAAACTACATTCTCCAGACAGTCCTCCAGTACAGTCCTACTGACCCTATTTCTGCAAGCAGGGTCTGATAAATTGAAAGGAGAGTCACATTTTATGCCTGAGTTAAGAGTCTAAAGACCTTATGATAAAAATTAGCCCCAAGAATTCCCCGATATCACCTGTATTGCAGTGCACATGGACCAGCCTCCCTCCTCACTTCAAGGGGAGCTGCCCACTCGCCCTCCAGCCCCATCCCCATTAAAGCCAGACGAATTAGAGAGATTACCTTTATAGGTAATCCAAAAAGCACATGTCTTTGTGTACTTAAAACACACTCAATCCTGCCACTTTGCCATGTTCATAAGGTTAAATTCCATCTAGTTCAAGGGATATATATATGTGGTGACTCCACTAATAAATGCTAAATTTGGCTTGTTTTTAAATTTTTTTCTCAAATTATTTTAAACACTACTAATTCTAAACACTATTAATTTGAGTCTATGCTAGTGCTTTCTTTTGACTTTAATATACATATGAATCACCTAGGATCTGATTCCTTAGATCTGCAGATTGCAGGAAATGTTGCATTTCTAACAATCTGCTAAGCGACAGTCCCACTTTAAGTAACAAGGCCCCGTCTAGTGAGCCCATCCCTTGGCTATAACTCTGTGGATAGGATGGGGAGCAGTGAAGAGGAAGGGGCACTATCGGAGGCTGGGCAGTGTGAGAATGAGAGGAGCCCCAAGAAAGATGTGCGCACCGGGGCAGATGCTGCCTTTGAGGTTCTCCAGCAGGTGTGTCATGGTGCTGAAGTCAGGGGAGTAGGACACGTGCAGCTCAGCAGGCTCGGAGGCAATCTCACGCAGCTCCTCCTCTACCGCCTTGCCCACGCCCACAGCGTACATGACGATGCCTGCAGGGCCGAGGGACTCAGAGGGCACCCGAGACCTAGGGAAAACCACCTCCCAGCCTCCCTCCCAACCCCAGCCCAGTCTGTCCCATGCTGAGCCCACCTTCCTCCTTGGCGCGCGCTGCCCACAAGGAGATGTCATCCTGGGAGCGGCCATCGGTGAAGACCAGGCCGACGCGAGGCACATTGAGGGCTCGGGGCCGGGCACCCTGCGCCTCGGAGAAACTGTGCTCCACCATGTGGCGCAGCGCCAGCCCAGTCATGGTCCCGCGCTCCATGTACTCCACAGCCAGGACCGCCTGCTTGACTTCAGCCGCAGTGCCATAGCGGCCTAGCGGGAACTCGGTGCGCACGCGGCTTGAGAACTGCACCAGCCCGATGCGGGAACCCTCTGGGGACACGTCCAGGAAGTCCACGATCTGGTTCACAAAACGCTTTACCAGCTCGAAGTTCTGTGGGCGCACACTCTTGGAGCCATCCAGGAGCAGAACAAGGTCCACGTGGCCTTCCCGGCACCCTACCAGCAAGAAGGCCGGGATGGAAGGGGCCGATCCCTGACCAGCAACAGCCATTTACCCATCTAATCCTTCACTGGCAATCACTTATCATATAACACATACCATTTATGAGTCTTTGCTGTGCCCACGGGGTGCTTCAAACATCATCACCTTCTTCTCCATGCTAACCCTTGGCATTGAGTGCTTAGCACAAACCAACTACTCTGCATCTCTTTTTAATAATCACCACCAATAATAATAACCACTACAGCTCTAATTTATTGATCATCCATTCTATACATCAGTCAATTCTAAACATCTTACCAATATTAATAACAAAAACATTATTTACTGACAGTTTGCTGTGTTGTCAGGCATCAGGTGGCACTGGGCTTATGCTATATATTTATAATATATAATTATATATATAATATACATATAAAAGGATATACATGTATATAAAAGGATATATACATATTTATATCCTTTTAATAACCTTGAGTATCATCCCAAATTCCTGTAACCTGAGGTTCTGAAGGACATAGTGACTTGCCTCAGATTCCATAGCTAGTAGTGATTGATCCAGGACATGAAGCTACATTGTCACCACCCCAAAAACAGTTCATGAGACCCTATCTTGAAAAACCCATCACAAAAAAGGGCTGGTGGAGTGGCTCAAGGTTTAGACCCTGAGTTCAAGCCCTAGCACTGAAAAAAAAAAAAAAGCGGTGGGCCTAGTGGGAGGTAATTAGGCCCTAGGAGGCCCACCCTAAGGATTAATGCCCATCTCAAGAGACTGAGACTGAGACTGGATTAGTTACCATGACTGTGAATAGTTTTAAAGTAAGGCCACCTCATGTATTTGGTCTCTTCCACATGCCAGCCCACCACTCATATACATGCTCCTGCCATGTGATCTGTCAGCCTCCAGGCCCTTGCCAGAAGCCAAGCATGCTGACCCCCAGAGCTTCAAGCCAAAGAAACCTCTGTTCTTTATTAATCATCCAGACTTAGATACATTGCTATAGCAACACAAAACAGCCACTACCTGCGGTACTTTGTTACAGCAGCCCAGATGGACTAAGACAGAATGAGTAGAGATGTGCCAAGGCAGCAAGGGTCATCTTGGAAAGTGGGGAGCATCACGTGCCCGGACATGGGAGCTAGGAAGAGCTCAACACATTCAGGAAGGGACAGACCAGTGTGACTGAAATGCTCAAGTGTGACAGGAGACAAGGTAATGGGTTAGCTGAAGCTAGGCTGTAATGAGCTAAAGTGATGGTTACCATAACTCACAGTAAAATAATAATAATAAATCATGATGCACTTCATATACTCACATAACACCTAACTTAAGCTTCATGAAACAGTACTTACTCTTTCTACATGCAGAAAACTCTATTTTCTCTTCCATTCTTTTTTTTTTAATGCTAGTTTTAAGTCTCTAATTTGACCTCATTATCCACTAATGTGACTGTGCTCACCACTTGAAAAATTCAGGGTTAAGGCATTGCATCTTTATTCTTTAAGCTTTGATGAGCCACAGAAGAATTTTGAGCAATGAAGAAATATGATCTAATGTGATTAATCAATTAACCTTGGCAGCAGGGTAGAGAATTGGAGGGAAAGCAACTGAGGCAGGGCCCAACACACCCTTCAATATCCACATCCCACACACACATCCACACCACATTCTTCGGCCACAGCAAGGGTGAAGTGAGCATGTTCTGAAATGCAGGCAGTGAGGCAGGAACAATCTCAATACCGCTCTGCTCAATACTCACGGTCACAGCTCTTGCCATCTGCTTGAAGTCGCCTCCCCTCAGGGCACAGGCAGTGATAGGAGAGGCCCTCACTCACACACTGGAACTCACAGCCATGGTCCACTCCATTGCAAAGGTCCCTGACTTAAAGGAGAGACAAAGCAGAATGAGTCAGGGCAGACCCCACCAGCTAGGATTCCCTGCTGCTCCCCACAAGCACAAGAGACTCCTCCTCACCCTGACAGCTCCTCCCATCTGGCAGCAGGTCATGGCCCTCCCTGCAGCGGCACTGTGTTCCCCCAAGGGTGCTGACACACTCATGCTGGCAGCTGTGGTTCCCGAAGCTGCAGTGGTCAATGGCTGGTGGAAGGAAGAAACAACAAAATGTTGGTGCCGGTTGGGTTGGAGGCATCCTAGGCCTCAGTCTGGGATGCTGGTTATGAGGGCTTACTCACCCTTGCAGCTCCTCTGGTCCTGCTGGAGTGCAAAGCCAGCTTGGCAATGACAGAAATAGGAGCCCGGGGAATTGACACAGTGGTGCTCACAGCCATGGATCCCTTCAGCACACAGGTCAATGGCTAAAGAAGAGATGAAGTCAGGCTTTGCCCAGGGCCAAGCTGCTCAGTCCATCAGTGTGACCAACTTTTAAGAATACCCGTGCTGGTGTCCCAGCCCCCAGATCCTGATTAATCAGTCTGGGATGAAACCAGGTATCTGTAACTTCTATAAGCATAAGCTTCCTTATATAGGTCAAGCTTGATCTACAGAGTGAGGCAGACCTCCCACGCCAAACCCTGGACACATCCCAAAGCCAGTATGCCCATTACTCAACCAGGCATGAGGAGAATCCACAATTGCATAAGTCAAGGCCCCTGTCTTCCAGATGCCCACTAACTTACAGGGCAGGACGAGGTGAGGCCACTTTGCCTGTCTAAGCCTCTATTTTCCCATCTGCAAAATGGGAATATAATAGAAGAGAGCAATTGCTGTTTCCAACTTCCTTCTGAGCAGGTGGAGGAGGACCTATTGTCTGTTGAGTACCTTGAGGGTTTGGATGTGCAAAGACGGCCTAATGCTGAGCTGAGGAACACGGACTAGAGAAAGGAGAACTGTCCTGCAGAAAGAGTGAGAATTTGGAGTTTCTGCAAAAGAGATGGGGATAGAGAGAGCAGAAGAAGAGAACCCAAGAGGCAGTGTAAAGATGTCTGTGGATTAAGGCTGCTAATGAAAAGCCCCTGTTGTGGGCTTTTAGGAACAAGGACATCTAATATTCAATTATAAATATATGTTTGCTTTTTAAAATGTTCATGTTTGACCTTACAGGTATAACTCATACCTCTGTCCACCTCCACCCTTGATAAAATGGACATATGCACACATCCAATACACACACATGCCCTTGTATGCAGAACCATGTAAACCAAAGAAGAGACTGATTTACACACATGGAACACATGTGTGGAGTTGGAAAATTGAGAAAGTATCCATAAGTCAAAAGAATGCAAGAGAAGTTCACAGGAGAAGCAACCACCAGAAGATAAGCCCTAGGGAATTCTCAGAAATCTTAGAGATCTTTGGTTAATAGTCACCAAATGGATGTGTGTGTCGGGGAGGAGGGGTGAAAAGCCAACCAACCTTTTTAAGTTGCTAACATCAAGAAGACCCCAGGTTGCATCTAGGTTATTGGGGTCACATGACCTCTTTTTCCAGGCCGTTACAAGGCTGAGAGACAATGTGTGGAATGATCCTAGCACAATACCTGATACTAACTTGGCACTTAGTAAGTGGTAACATTTGCTACGTGTATGTCTCAGGAGTAGACATATTCACCAAAAAGAAAAATCCAACTGTATAAGCAAGGCATCATGTGCCATCGCTTTTCAGAAAACACAAAAGAACCAGGTCTTGAAAAACTTATTATGGCAACCCAAGGCAGCACCACAGAAGGAGATGAAGTGCAAGGTAAGAATGAGGAGCATGTGGGGGAGACCCACCTTATTAAAGACCCCCAAAATCAGAAACTGAAAGGATGTGGCTGGAAGGAGACAGAAAAAACAAGTTGGGCAGGTAGGTTGGAGCCAGGTAGGGCACTAGGTTGAAAAAAGAGGAGAAAGAGCTACAGAAAGCACATTTAACTGTAAATCAAGGCTCAGATCCCTGGTCCCACCAAGGACTGTGTGACCCCAAGAAATTACTCTTCTTTCTAAGGTTTGTAAGGTGAAGGAGGTGGGCTTTGACTTCCAAAATTCCTGTTAAACTCATTGTTCTAATACTGGGGCAGTGAGGAGCCAAAGAAGATTCTGTAGCATTGAGACTGCAGGGCACAGGTACTTCTAGTTCTCACCCAAACAACTCTTGTTATCTGCTGCTAGCTTGTAGCCAGAGTTGCAGGCACAGTAGAAAGTTCCTGGAGTGTTGATACACTGGTGCTGACAGTCATGTCCCCACTCAGCACACAGGTCCTTCCCTGAGGATACACAGGACTAGAATCAACAGGGGTCACAAGCCTCCAAAGAGAGGGCTGAATGGGGATGGGGCCTGAGGCAGGCAAAATCCTCAGGAATAGCCTTAGGTAGAATATGACTCATTTGAGGGGGACAGTCCAGGTGGGAGGTTTAGGGAAAGAATGGGGCTTGAGCAGCCCCTGTGACTACGCTAAGAAGAGAAAGCACTGGACTGGATGTGTCAGTGCCATGGGGTAGAACCACCCAGAGGTTGGGGCAGTGCAGGGAAGTGGAGAGGTACTAAATCAAGATGGGTGAGATAACACCAAAAGTCACTTGCAGTGTTTAGAGTTGACAGTGGGAGGAGCCATACTCACGTGAGCAGGGCATGACTCCTACTAGGCTGTTGCTCTCAGCTTAGGGGGACTGCAATTCTTGTTTTTTCTTTTGTTTTGGGGACAAGGTCTTGTTATGTAGCCCCAGCTAACCTCCTGCCTCAATCTCTGGAGTGCTCATATTACAGCAATACATCACTATGCCCAGCAAGGGACAATAATTCTTATTTTGAAGGCATTGGTATTAGAGTTTGGCATGAAGCCTGTGGCAAATCACACAATCCCTCATCCTTGTGAGCAAGACAGGCTGAGTTGCTCTTGTGGGATGAGGCTTAAGCAAAGGTGGCCAAGAGTAGGGCTACCCCAGCAGCACCTCAACTCTACCTGGTGGGCAGAATAAAGCTAGGATGCTCAGACTGCTCCAACTCGAAAGAATTTACTGTGCTGGGAACCAGAATCCAAGCAGCTAGAGTTCTAACCTCACTCCAGCGCTTCTCTAACTCACCGCACAACCGGCCCTGGAACTGCAGGCCAAACTCCTGGATAAGGTCAAAGGACTCAACCAGGAAGACGTGCTCATCCAGTGGGGGTGACGCCATGGCACGCAGAGAACCCACATCTGCACGCTGCACCCCCACCGCGTATATTTCAATGCCCCTGGCGCGCGCTTGCGCCGCCACCTCGGTCACGCGGTCCTGGGGCCTCCCGTCGGTCACGATAACCGCGACGCGCGGCACGCGCTCCTCCAGCGGGCGCGCGCCCTCGGCCTCGCTGAAGGCTACGTTCATGGTATACAGGATTGCCAGCCCGGTCATCGTGCCCTGCGCTAGCGGCACCAGGCCGCGGATGGCGCGCTCCATGTCTTCGCGGCGAGAGAAGGCACCGAGAGGAAAGACGCTCTGCACTTGACTCGAATACTGGATCACGCCGACGCGTGTGGCGTTGAGCCCCACGTCCAGGCTGCGGAGGAGGCTTACTAGGAACTGTTTCATGGTCTCAAACTCGAAAGGGCGCACGCTGCGGGAGCTGTCTATCACGAACACCAAATCAAGAGGCCCAGTACGGCACCTAGGACCTGCGGGGGACATAGGGAGAACTTTTGTAGGTCAGCAAAGGCTGATCTCCGAGGAAACTCCCCTCCCCCAGGAAAACCCTGGAGAAATGCTATCCTCGCGAACAGCGCCCAGCATAGTAGTAACCTTGCAAACGCACGATACACTCCCTCCCTCATCCGGCGTTTGCTGAGAACCTAGGCTAGGATGCTTCATAAATTCCCCATGGTACGGCTCTAAGGGCTATTCTGGTGATGTATTATCCATTCAGGAATGGGCAAAGAAGAGCTGTCCAAACCCAAATGCCTATAGGAGCCAGGCAGGCAACATAAATAAATGAACTGGTTGAGTTAGGACTTGGACACCAAAGAGCCTGTATCCCTCCTAAAGTGGACAGATCCAGCCAATTTATTGCCATGTGGCCATTTGCACTGGATGTTAGCAGATCTGTGGATTTTTCAAGAAAGGTCTCAAATTGGGATTTTTATGTGAAATCTCTTGGTTTTTCTATATTTTCTATAAACTTTTCAAACTTAAGCACTATGTGGACAGTTATGCATGAACCCCAAACTAAGCTACATCTACAGGTGAGGAAAATGAGGCTCAGAGAAGTGCAGTGGAAAACGCAAACACAATTGGGTATGTCCCAAAGCCCTTGCTTTTCTCTCCCCAGCAGTCTTGGCTGGCAGCAGATAAGCTGCCTCTGCTCCCCTCCCCCCACTGGTGAGGGCTGGGCCCCGGGTCACCTGCTGACTGAAGCTGAGTTTCCCAGGGCTGGAAAAGGAGCAGCAACATAAGCAGTAGCCAGCAAAGAGGGCCCCTCATGGTGCTTGAGGGACAGAGAACGGAAGTGTCAGAGCCTGGAGGGAGAAAGGAAATTCATAAGGCAAGAGTGTGGACTGAGTGCTTATTCTGAGAGGTGGACACTTGGAGGGAGAGAGGGTCTTGGGTTTATTTTACTAATCTCTCTATTTTTGTGTATGTTCCAAAATACTTCATGATGAAAACTGTCTTTATATTGGGATTTCTGGGAAAACACAAGAAATTCTTTGTAGAACTGCAGAAAGTCACACTTCACAGAACTGTAAGATAGTAAATAAAAATTAGATAAGAAATATACAAATTTTAAGATGAAAAAAGGCCTCCTAAATGATGGGTTCAGTGCTTTTTTACACATTGTGGCATTTAACCCTCTCTCCAATTCTGCCACTAAGGCTGCGTTTTCCCCTTTGTACAAATGAGGATCACGAGGCTTAGAGAAGTTAAGCTCTGGTACCAGATGCGCCAGGAGAGAATCCCCCTATTTGGTTCTGTGGGCCAGTCAGGGCACTCCGTGTCCTCTTCTCTGGAGAGGTGAACCAACCTCTGCAGACAGAGCCATTCTCCACTTCAGCTCCTCCCCCTCTGCACACAGGAGCCTCTGTGTGGCTGTCATTGTAAGCCCCCATCCGGACCCCACACATAGATGCACACCGCCCAACAGCAGGTGGCAGGGAAGAGCGCGACCTTTCGCAGGGTCGCGTGTGGGAGTGGTGGGGCATGAGTGGGCCAAAGCCCACCATGCACTTGAACTCCAGGTTGGTGCCTCTGTTCCCAGGAGATGCCGCCAGGGAGCACCTGCCCGGGTCTGGCTGCAATTGCTAGGTGGCGGTGGGAAGCCCACATCTGCTCAGCAGGTGTCCCTGCCCAGAGCAAACAGGCGACCTGGAGCTCCAGGGTCTTGGAGATAAGACCAGGACAAAATATATCCCGCGCAAAGGTCTGGAGCAGAGGTGTGCAGGGCTCCAGGGGCAGCATTACTGGACGCCCCAGAGGGCAGCAAGAGAGCGGCTAGGGCTTCTCCAAGCGTCCATGGACTCTGTGAGGGCAGCAGGTGAGCCGTCACCCTCCTGCAGCCCCTGGTGACTACCTTTAAGAATCACGGAGAACTCCAATTGTACAGATAGGGAAATTGAGGTCTAGGGAGATGACCTGCCCAGCTACACAGGCAGGACAAAACCTAGAACTCATGGCTCCCCTTCTCCTTCCTGAGCTGCCTGGCTCCCTGGAGCCTGGGAGTCACTAAAACTCTTTTCCTTCCATTTGCCACCCCACCCCACGCTACCCTCACACTGCATGCTGAGGTTGCTCTAGCTAGCCATTTTTCTGTCCTGGTTTCTTGGCAGGGGAAGGACGGCGGCCCCTAACCCACCACGGCCCCGCCTCCCAATTCCCTGAATGGGTCCATTTTGAGCAAGGCGGGGGTAGAAGGGGCTGCTGCTTGCTCGCTCCAGGCGTCCTTCCCCTCCTGGATTCTTCTCTCCTCACCCCCACCTCCGCCCCTTATAGACCTAGTAAAGGAACAAAACTCCCTCTGGCAGGGCCCATCGTGGGAGGGTGACTAAGCTGGATGTGCCAGCTGCTGGGGGAGGTGGGAGGGTGGGGAATGCCTTCTGTAGCTTGGGCCATAGCCCAGGTCAGCAATCCCAGGGACACATGTGGATAAAGGCACAAGGGGCGTTTGCCACTCATCACCCCCTTCCTACCTACAAAAGCCTTTGGGCTCCCAAATTTTAAGGTTCATCTTATTCTGTTCTTGAACAAACATCCATTTGGTACCACCCTGCCTCCACCCCTGGAATCCTAGAAAATAGCAGCTTTGATGAACTCAAAGTTCATCACCTTTCCAAATACCTCATTTTACAGAGAGAGCTTGGTCCAGAGGGGATAATGGGGGTCTTCACTCAAGGTCACACATCGAGGTGGTGGCCAGGCTGACACTAGAACCCAGGACTCCTCCGGAGTTAATCCTTGCTTGTTAAAAAAAGATTCACAGATGCCCTTAGTGTAGGGCAAGTGGCCGGCACGAAGGGGAGGTCTGTAATTCTTAAAAGAGTTGGCTGAGGAATAACACCTAGGGAACATCCCCCGGGGGTGGTGGGGGCTGGAGGGAGGAGATGAGGGAAGGAATGCCCCTATTTCATGGGCCTTGCTGGTGGGGGCTCACTTTGGAAAAGGGCCCTACGGAAAAGAGAAAAGGGAACGGGCACTGTAGGTTCATGTGGGCACCGTGGGCGGTTAAATACGGTCGCCGGGTGGGGCTCCCTGCAGACCCCTCAGCGCCCCCAGGCCCTTTGACTCACCTGAACCTGCTGGACAGCTCGGAGGTGCGGCTGCAGAGCGAAGCCGACGGGCGGAGCCTCCCGGGCAGTTGGACCAGGTAACGGCGTGGGCAGCGCGCCCTAGGTGGGGACTGCCAGGCAGCTGGAGCGAGCCGACACAGCGGCTGCATTTAACCCAGGGCTGGCGGGTGGGGAGGGGAAGCGAGTGCTGCGACCCCTCCCCCTGGCCGGGAGCGAATCCCCCTTCCTCTGAGGACTGGGGCGGGCCAAGCGCAGCGCCCCTTCTCCTGCCACCCTTGAAGCCGCAGACTCGAGCTGCGGACCGGAATTGGGCTACAGCGGGAGACTGGCGGCGACACTCCGGAGCTGGAATGCGCTGGAAGCCTTTGAGGCACTTCCCAGAGAGAAGCCCCAAGAGGCGGAGCGGTCCTCACTCTGGCCGCTGACTGCCTGGCCTGGCTTCCGAGTGCACCCCCGACTCACTGACTCTTGCCCTCCGTGGTCCCTTCCAGGAGTGAGGAGAAGCCGGGATTCCGGTCCTGCCACGAGGCTCAGGGGCTCAAAAAAGGATAGCCTTGGAGTTCATAGCTGTCCTTGGGTCACAACCTTCCACTTCCCCAAATCTCTCCCACCCCATTCATCCACCCTGCCATTATGCAGGTTTAGGGTGCACCCATCCTCACCCAAAAAAAACCCAGAATGAAAAGTCACAGGCCCCAGGCTCTGATCTGGCTCACCCTGCAGGGCCAATGTAATGGGCCTTGATTCCCTGTAATCAAAGAAAAGAAAACCCAGGCAGCAATAGGGAGAAAGGGAGGTGTTGCTTTGACTTCAGAAAGATTCTGATGCCCCCCACATCCTGAGGACACAGTTTGTGGGCTCTTCCAATATCAGAAAGCCCCGATATCTGATTTGGGAGAGGCTGTTTCCCCCTTTACATTCTTCTGTGGTGGAGAGGCTTAGCTACCAATTCCACATGCGCCATCTCCATCCCGGGGGGCCTTTGTGTCACAGCCATGTTTCCCGATGGGTGGCATCTGTGTGGTCCCAGTGCACTTTCTGCAAGCTCTATTGAGCACCTCAAAGTACAAATACTTAGCCCACAATTTGAACCCAGGTCCCTTCTCTTTGCCTAGCACTTCTTCCCTGGACCCCTTGGGGAGGCAGAGCAACTCCATCCCCCACTTTGCTTGTCTCAACCTGATTAGAGGACTCTGCACCTCTGGACCCTCCACTCTCCTCTCCCTGCTTGGGGCTGGTTGACCTGCCCTCCTCCTAGGTCACCTCCAGAGCATGCCACCATCCTGAGGGAAGGTGTACGTAGGTGCCTGCAGCAGCGGTGCGAGCAGACAGTGAGGATCCTGCACGCAAAGGTGGCACAGAAATCCTACGGAAATGAGAAGCGGTAGGTGCCTCAGAGGCCCCTCCCAGGTCTCTCTAGCCTTCAGCCTCCCACGGGTTTGGCCTCTTTTACACCTGGGGGAGGCCTTGGGACTTACACCTCAACTATTGACCCAGCAGGGACCTGTCCCTCAATGCTATAGCCACTTTGGTCTATATCAGAACCCCCCTGTGACTCTCTTGACCCCACTCACTCCCTCACCTGTCATTCATTCATTCATTCAGTTAGTTACTGAGTGTTTGTCATGTGCCAGTTCTGTGGGCACTGCCCAGCACTGGGCATACAGAAAAACAAGCCTGTTTTCACTCTTAGGTGAAAGAGACAGGTAGTAAACTCCCCACAAATCAGCAAAAAAGATACTTCAGAGTATGTTGAGAGCCAGACAGAAACCAAAGGAGAATCCTTTAGCTTGAAAGGTCAAGGTGGTCAAAGAGCACTTTAGGAGGTGACCTCAGGATTGAGATGTGACTGCTAAAATGAACCAGACATGAGAAAATCTGGGGGAATCATGTTCCAACTAGAAAAAGCAGGTAATACAAAGACCTTTGTGCTGTACCATTTGAGTCTGTAAAGGGTACAAAAGAAGCTAGAGTAGCTGAATTTAGAGGTGGGAGGGGTTATAGGAAATAAGCTGGAGAGGTAAGCGGGGGCTAGATCTCGTGAGGACTTGGAATTTTAAACCAACAAGATTTTAAGAAGAAGAGCAACATTTGACTCTTTTATTTTTAAATAGTAATAAGTACTCTAGCCGCTATATGAAAAATAAGTAGAAGTGGGGAGGAGGAGCAACAAGAAGACTGGTTGGAAGGCCAATGCACAGGCGCACGCACAAAGGAAGAGTTAGGACTAAGGAGGAGGTTGGTGAAAAGCCAGTAGATTCGGGATGTGTTTCTAACGTAGAGTGGGAGGGTTTAATGATGGGTAGAATAAGGGGTGTAACAAAAAGAAAGTTAGGGTGCTAATGGGGTTCACAGTCAGGGAGAAGCCTAAAGGAGAGAGGGTGCAGGAATCAGGGTTCGTTGGAGTGTATGCTACCTTAAGATGCTTCCAAGACAGTGAAGTGGAGATAGACGAACCCGGCACTCGCATGTCTCCGCAGGTTCTTCTGCCCTCCACCCTGTGTCTACCTCGCGGGTCCCGGCTGGAGGGTGAAGCCAGTGCAAGGTCAAGGTGAGGGCACACTCGCGGGCTGTGGCTATTCTCCACCGTAAGGAGGACCACGCGGTAGGGCCTGGAAGCCTGGGCGCGGGGCAGCTCACAGGCCAGGCTCGCTTCTCCCTCTGGCGGCGAGAACTAAATTTGCCTGGCACCTGAGTCTTTCCTGAGTCCTTCCGGAGCCAGCTCGCGTCCCTTTCCAGCCCACCAGGCAGGGGAGACAGGGCCCACCGTCTGCGGCTACATGGGACTGGACAGCGCGTCGGGCAGCGCCGCCGAGACGCAGAAGCTGAATTTCGAGGAGCAGTCGGACTCCAGGGTGAGAGCAAATGGCAGAGGGTCCGATTCCTGCTCCCACCCCTCCTTTCCCTTGGAGCACAGTTTTAGTCCCCTCCAGAAGTCAAGAGATTGGGAGGTCGAGAGGCCGGGGTTCTGCCTTAAGACTGAGCCCGTGAGCCTAGGCTCGTGGAGCTCCCTGCCTCCTCCCGTGGGATGGATGTCAGATAACTGCGAGAGGCTGGCTCATGCTGGGTGATACGACCCCCATCTCCGTGAGCCCCGTAGGAATTCGGTTGTGCCAAGACCCTGTACATCTCCGACGCCGACAAGAGGAAGCACTTCCGGCTGGTGCTGCGGCTGGTGCTGCGAGGGGGCCGGGAGCTGGGCACCTTCCACAGCCGCCTCATCAAGGTCATCTCTAAGCCCTCGCAGAAGAAGCAGTCGCTGAAAAACACTGACCGTGAGCGGGAGGGAGCGGGTGTGCAATCAAGTCAAGAGCAGCTAACTTTGGAGTGGGGGAGGACTGCAGGAGTGGGGTCAGAGTGAGAAAGGTGGAGTCTGAGCTAAGAAAGAGGCGGGGCCAGGGTGCGTGGGTGTGGCTTAGACCTGGACCTGGGATAGGGGAGCAAAAGCCTAGGAAAACCTACAGACACAGACTTGAGGATGAGAATAGGGCTCAGAGCAGACAAAAAAACGCCCGGCAGGTGCTGTACTATGGACGGATTAAGAGTGAGGATAAACAAGAGCTGGAAAATGTGATTCAGTGGTAGAAAGTATGCTTAGCGTGCTCGAGACCCTGGGTTTCATTTTCAGCACCCGCCCCCGCCACGCCAAAATGTGACAATAAAGGGGAAGAGAGAAAATTCCCCTATGGGATGCCTGTTGATGGCCGGGTCTGTGTCATGTGCTGGATCCTTATAAAATAAGAACAGATGTCATTTCTAGAGGAAACTATAGCCTAGCAGGGAAGACAAACAGATCAAGCAGATGTTTGAGATAAATACTGTCCTGGATGTCAGGTGGCAAATTCCAGGGCTGGGAGCTCTAAGAGAATGGGGGTGGGGGAGAGGGGTGAAGCCTAAATGATAATGACGGCCACACAACTCTGTGGGAGGTAAGGGAATGGGGTAGGAGGGGGATTTCCTGGTGAACTTTTCCTTGAATTATCCTATTTGATGGTTGCTATGTCCCTGAAAGGTAGGCCACTATCATTGTTCCTAAGTGGTAGATGAAGGAAATGAGGTTTGGAATACTCATCCATTTACGTAAAAAATATGTGGGAGCTGGACACAGTGGCACATGCCTGCAATCCCAGCACTCTGGAAGCTGAGGTAGGAGGATCTGGAGTTTAAGGCCAACCTGGCCTAGATGGCAAGTTGTAGGCCAGCCTGCACTACACAATAAGACCCTGGCTCAGAGGAAAGAAGGAAGGAAGGAAGGAAGGAAGGAAGGAAGGAAGGAAGGAAGGAAGGAGGGAAGGAGGGAAGGAAGGAAGGAAGGAAGGAGGGAGGGCAGGAAGGGAGGGAAGGAAGGAAGGAAGGAGGGAGGGAAGGAAGGAAGGAAGGAAGGAGGGAAGGAAGGAAGGAAGGAGGGAGGGAGAAGGAAGGAGGGAGGGAGGGAGGAAGGGAGGGAGGAATGGAGGAAGGAGGGAGGGAGGGAGGGAGGGAGGGAAGGAGGGAGGGAAGGAGGGAAGGAAGGAGGGAGGGAAGGAAGGAAGGAAGGAGGGAAGGAAGGAGGGAGGGAAGGAAGGAGGGAGGGAGGGAGGGAAGGAGGGAAGGAAGGAAGGAGGGAAGGGAGGGAGGGAGGGAGGGAAGGAAGGAAGGAGGGAAGGGAGGAGGGAGGAGGGAAGGAAGGAAGGAGGGAAGGAAGGAAGGAGGGAAGGAAGGAGGGAAGGAAGGAGGGAAGGAGGGAAGGAAGAAGGAAGGAAGGAGGGAGGAGGGAGGGAGGAGGGAGGAGGAAGGGAGGGGAAGGAAGGAGGGAAGGGAAGGAGGGAAGGAAGGAGGGAGGGAAGGAAGGAAGGAAGGAAGAGGGAAGGAAGGAGGGAGGGAAGGAAGGAGGGAGGGAAGGAAGGAGGGAGGGAGGAGGGAAGGAAGGAGGAGGGAAGGAAGGAAGGGAAGGGAGGAGGGAGGGAGGGAGGGAAGGAAGGAAGGAGGAAGGAAGGAAGGAGGAAGGAGGGAAGGAAGGAAGGAGGGAAGGAAGGAGGGGAGGGGAAGGAAGGAAAGGAAGGAGGGAAGGAAGGAGGGAAAGGAGGAAGGAAGGAAGGAAGGAGGGAGGGAAGGAAGGAAGGAGGGAGGAAGGAAGGAAGGAGGGAAGGAAGGAAGGAGGGAAGGAGGGAAGGAGGGAAGGAAGGAAGGAGGGAAGGAAGGAAGGAGGGAAGGAAGGAAGGAGGGAAGGAAGGAAGGAGGGAAGGAAGGAAGGAGGGAAGGAAGGAAGGAGGGAAAGAAGGAAGGAAGGAGGGAGGAAGGAAGGAAGGAAGGAAGGAGGGAGGGAGGCAGGAAGGGAGGGAGGGGGAAGGGAGGAAGGGAGGGAGAGGGAGAGGGAAGGTGGGAGGGAAGAATAAGTCATTCAATGGAGGGGTTGGCTAAGTGTAAATGGAGCACATACATCACGGCTAAGTGTAAATGGAGCACATACATCACGGCTAAGTGTAAATGGAGCACATACATCACGGCTAAGTGTAAATGGAGCACATACATCATGGTGAGAAGAGAGCGGGTGAGGCCTCACCCAGTGCCTTCTCCCCAAGTGGCCAAATTCCAGTGAGAAAGTAAAGCTGTGGCTCTGAGTATGTGCCACGGGCCAGAAGGAATAAATATCAAGTCTTAGAAATGTTATACTGCTGTTATACATCATGTGATCTTGGCTTGAGCAGTCACCTGTGCAGTTCTACATGTTTCATGCTCCCCTGCTCCAAGAAAGCCTCCTCAGTTTATCCCTCACCGCATCATACTGGCATTTTATAATTATGTTCTCAAGACCATGAACTCTTCCAGAGCGAAGCTGGGTCTAATCCTCAGGCCCTGGTGACTGGATGAGATTCTGTTTGTTGCCCAGCAGCACAGAGGAGGAGGCAAAGGCTCAGAAGCAGGACTGCAGCAGGCACTAGATAAGTAACTGTGAAATATGAATGCCCATTGTGTCCAGGCCAGTGGGCATATTAGCCAGGCTAGCACAGGGGACAGAGGATTGGAGGTTATCTGGTGAGTCCAAAGGATCATGCCAGGCCAGGGCACTGATTCCACCTCCCCTCACAGTGTGCATCTCCTCCGGCTCCAAGGTCTCCCTCTTCAACCGCCTGCGCTCCCAGACAGTGTCCACACGCTACCTTTCTGTGGAGGATGGGGCTTTTGTGGCCAGCGCAAGACAGTGGGCTGCCTTCACACTCCACCTGGGTAATCCCAAGAACAGGTGCAGGCTGAGCACTTCATATACATTAGCGTGTTTATTCTTTACCCCAGCTCCTCAAGGAAGGTAAACTTGGCCCCTTGTAATGGAGCTGCAGAAACAAAAAAGACTTGCCCCTGGCTCCAGTGAGATGGTGACTGACCTGAGCTATTCTGATTCCAGTGTCCATGTTCTTTCCCTTCCCATCAATTAGGTGCCTGCCCCACCTAGGTGACCACAGTTGACCTCCCCAAGATTAGAACCTTCAGCCTTAGCTGCTTCCCTGAAGGCCACCTCTTCCCATAGGGCCCAAGGGGTGATGTGAGGTGGAGCCAGAGGAGAGGAGGAAGGGCTTGGGGCACCTGAAACCCTTTTTTTCACCTCTAGCTGATGAGCACTGTTCCCAAGAGGACTTCCCACCTCGAGAAGGCTACGTCCGTTATGGCTCCCTAGTACAGCTCGTCTGTACAGTCACGGGCATCACACTACCTCCTATGGTATGAAGAAAGAGGGTAGACATGCAGGGGGTATCCAGATCCAAACAGAAGTGTAGCCCATGTGGGCAAGGCTGGATGGAGAGTAAAGCCCCAAGGCATAAAGACCCCTCTTTTCACTCTGGGGACACTCAGTGCTTTGTGGGAATTCGCCCATGTCTACATGGCTATCAGAGAAGCAGAGACTGGCTGTGAGGGCAGCCTCTGAGAACCCCACACCTGGCCATCACTCTTCCTACCACCCTTCTGCTACAGATTATCCGCAAAGTGGCCAAACAGTATGCCCTCCTTGACGTGGATGAGCCCATCTCTCAACTCCACAAGTGTGCATTCCAGTTTCCAGGTGGCCCTCCAGGAGGAGGTGGCACCTACTTATGCCTTGCCACAGAGAAGGTGGTACAATTCCAGGTGAGAAGCATAGAATACCAGCACAACATCTGAGAAAGGGAGAATGTAGAAAGCCATAGAGTATAAGATCATGGTCACAATGGTTGCTACTTATTGATCAATACTGCCTGCCAAGGAAGGTTGGAGTCATAGACTATCAGGACAGAATCACGGGATGTAGAAAGCAATTACTATGACAATTACTATCATTGAGCAATACTCCTTCTCAAAGACTATTAGAATCATAAAATGGGATATACACTGGAATCAGAATGTTAAGAGAATTGTGGAGTGCAAAAATTATTATTATTATTAAGCAATATTACTCCCAGAAGAATATTATCATAGAATCATAATATGCACAAAATGACAACTATTCCAATTGAGCAACATTCCTTCCCAAAGAATATTAAAATCAGAGAATGTAAAGGCATAGAATTGTGCAATGTTAAAAGCCAGAATCGTAGAATCCTAAGAAAACAAGACCATTAGAAGTCAATTGGTTCAACAAGCTTATTTAACTCTAAGAGAGAGAGAGCTTAAGGGTCTTATCCAAGCTCCCAGGGCAGGTACATCCCAGAGTCTGGAATTAAATTGGGCTTGGTGGGGAAACTCAGGCACTCTACTGGCTCCCCCACACTGGCAGCCACCATGGAAGCTTCTGCTCCATCTCTCGGATCTCCTCCTAGGCTTCCCCCTGCCTGAAGGAGGCGAACAGGGCACTACTCAATGACAGTTCTTGCTGGACCATCATTGGCACCGAGTCAGTGGAGTTCTCCTTCAGCACCAGCCTGGCCTGTACGCGGGAGCCGGTGACACCTGTGCCCCTGATCAGCACCCTCGAGGTGAATCGGGCGCTGGGGGGGCACTGGCGGACGTGCTGTCTGCCTGCTCTAGGGTGGGGGTGTTTGGTGAGGGAAAGCAGCAGGCTCCTGCCCCACCCCCACCCCACTCCACCTGGTTCCACCCTCCCTAAGCTGAGCGGTGGGGGCGACGTGGCCACGCTGGAGCTGCACGGAGAGAACTTCCACGCGGGGCTCAAGGTGTGGTTTGGGGACGTGGAGGCAGAAACCATGTACAGGTATGGAGCTGGGAAAACAGCTTTCTTTGGGCTCTGAGAACCAAACGGGGGCGGGGGGTTGGGAGATGTGTGTGTACATGTCATCAGAATCACCGCAAGCCTAATCCTAACCTCCATGCCCCACCTCCAGGAGCCCGCGGTCCTTGGTGTGCGTGGTGCCGGATGTGGCCGCCTTCGGCAGTGATTGGCGCTGGCTGCGCACTCCCATCACAGTGCCGGTGAGCCTGGTGCGGGCCGACGGGCTCTTCTACCCCAGCGCGTTCTCCTTCACCTTCACCCCTGAATACAGCGCGCGGCCGGGTCCCCCCGCCGCCCATGAGGAGCAGGCTACCGACGCGGACACACTCCTGGAGAGCATCCACCATGAGTTCACGCGCACCAATTTCCATCTCTTCATCCAAACTTAGGTGCGATCCCTGTTGTGCACCACTGAGGTCCGCACCCAGGCCCGGAGCCGGGTTGTTTCTCTGTGTCATAAACCCTGCTGCCTTGAGGCTCGCCATAGAAATCCGCTCTCACACAGGTCACTCACTTGTCCTTAAACATACAGGAAAACACAACCTGTGTGATGCTGTGTCCTGTGTGTGCTTCTCTCTGCCTGTGTCTCTTCTCAGTAATTTGGTCTGTAGATCTATTTATGTGTCCCTATCCCTGCGTCTTTGTCTCTCTCACAATTGCACATAGTCTGAGAAGCAAAGCCTGAGGATTTGCTCTCCAAGTATCAATGTTCCCAATTAAAGAGGGGAAAAAACCATAGCTTCGCAGTCTCAGAGAACTGAGGCAAGGTTCCTGAGGCATGGAGCCCTGGTCCTTCCTGCCTGGAGTACCAGATCTGACCTGGAGTGGCAAATCCCAGAGCACTAGGTCTCATCTGGAACACTGGATCCAGGTAGAGCACCAGGGTCTGTCCTTCCCTGTATCCCGTCTAGCTGCAGCCAGGCACAGCTGGTCTCTGGCACACAGCAGTGGTAGCTGGGAAAGTGCCTGAGACAGTGGTCAGGTTTTGCCATCTTAACTGTTCCCCCAATCACTTTTCTTGCCAGCCCAGTAGGATGCAGACCTGAGGATCAGGAATTCCTCTGTTGTACTAAAATCAACCTCTATCCAAGGCAGAATCTGATGGAGCACAGAGCCTACCTTTTTGACACTTTCTACAGAAATAATAGAGTTCAGAGGCAGCTAGCCCCAGAGCCCTCTTCTTTCCTTGGGGAGGGGGGGGGTCCACCTATCACTTCTGGTAACCGATTACCTACTAGTTATGCCCTTATCCCAAGCAAGAATGAACCCTAGCCCCAGAGGCAAACATAAGGCTTCTTCAGAACAAAACTCTCCCAGGACAACCCAGGCAGAACTCTTGGAACAACTGGGCAATAATGCAGCCCAGCCACGAGAGGCGCTTCTCTACATGGGACCCACAGATGGATCACAGTCCATCCCTGATCAGTGTGCCTCCATTCTGCATAGTTCCATGCCTTATAGGGGAAAATAAAAAATAAACATTAGGCAGAATTGTGGTTTGGGTGATGGGAACCAAGGGCCATGGGTTCCAGCTACTTGTACCAGCCCCTGGTGGTATCCAGTGGGGAGAACTAACCTAAAATATGGGCTTAGGACTCTGATGCCCTGGGTCTTTCCTTGACCCTCTGACAAAGAGCTCATTCCTTAAAAACTCCTCTCCCAGAATGTGGAAAGTCCCATGAAGAAGAAGGAACTCATAGTTCCCAGTAGGGCTTGCTCTTTAGACTCCCCCAAAATCTTGTCCAAGTTCTGTCATCTGCCATTGGCAGGCTGAAATCCATTGTGATAGGCAAGAGGGATGCTTACACAAAGCTTATGTGGTCCCTGAAGGTGAATCCTGGCTGATAAATGCTGGGAAAGTGTTATGGAAAATGTCCCTTACATGAGTGCCTGACTCAGAAGGATTGTGTCAGTGGTGGTGATGTTGAAGCATGAAAGAAGCTAAAAGCAGTTCATCACAAGGGGAACTGGGCTCAAAGGCTATCTAGCCCTGCCCTTAAAGGCTTCCTCTGTCACTCCCCAAAGCAAGAGTACTGGCATCCAAGAACCTAAGTGGGCTGGAAAGCCCAGGCCCAGCCATGCAGCTCTGTCTTCTCTGCTCCTCTCACGAGACCTGAAACCATTGGTCCCACTTAGGTACTCACCTAGAAGTTTGACCTCAAAGCTCCAGCCCTGGCCTGTCTTCTGAGTCCCAGCTGCTGGGCCTATCCTTGGAGATCCTCCTTGTACTTGAGTCTGAATCATCTAACATACAACTCCCCAGGCCCTCAAAAGCACCAGATCTTCCATCTCCTCTCCCCTCCCCCCCACCTCCCACTCCTCCACCCCATTCCCCTCACACCCCCACCCCATCACTAAGGCTTAGGGACTCCATCTCTCCTTCCACACTAAAATATGCTCCTTCTTTCCTCTTTCCCAACTACCCCATGTAGGACCAACTAACTGGGGCCTAGTGAAAAAATGTATGGCTCCTTGTTCAAATCTTATTGATAATTTCAAGACAGACAAAAGAGATGATGAAATCCTTCTATGCACAGGTCACGTATCCATGAAGCCAGCCCTGACCACAGACTTCTATCTTGGATTCTATCATTTGCCCCCTATCTTGGATCAAAGGGCATATGTACATCCTCATTGTCTCTGTAGATTGTGAACTTCATGTAGAAAGGAGGTTTTATCTCTATGTGTCCTAGTGGATGCATCACAATGCTTTACACATTGAGTTGGTGCTCAATAAACCAATTGCCTTGATTGCATTGGCAGATAATTTGGATAGTTCAAGTGCAAAGTAAAACCACCAGGTGGCACTGTTCCCCTTTCAATTTTTGAGTTTTCATTCTTTGAGTGGTAATCATACTGTTGGAGCCCTTACAGATAACCTTAACTTTTTCATGTTCTCGGAATTCTTTGGGAACTTGTATGCATAATACTGAATGTTTACAAGGACGTTCGCACATTCTAAAACCCATGTGTGGATTAACTTAGTCCTCTCCACATTTGAATTAGCTACCACAGGTAAAAGGAATGAAACCTCTGAGCGGGGAGACCAGACCATCTGTATTGTTGGCAAACTTTCCCAAGTGATTCTAGTGAACAGCCAACATTGAGAACCAATGCTTTAGTTCTCACCTTCTCGCCATTTTTATAGATAGGGAAACTGAGGCTCCAAGAGAGGAGGCCAAATTCACAGCAGGTTGATGGCAGACACTGTCATTGGTTTGAATCCTACATTTCTGACACGAAGTCTATGACTCTGAGGTTCTCCTAACTCTCATTCTACCACACTGCAATGTGGGGGAGGAGTGTGCGTGTTACACGGAGCAGGGAACAGGTTCCAAAACCTTACAATTTACAATCTCTCTTGCTGCCTGACTTCTCACCATTAACAAACTAGTCTCCCAGTTTTAAGCGCTGACGTTGGGGTTTTTTGCTTTCTTTTGCTTCTGTTAAATTAGTTTTTATGCAAAGACAAACTAGTAAAAACTATAGTGTGGGTAAAATTCTCAGACGGCTTCCTCCCTGGGGAGGATGTGGATAGCTGAGGGCATGGACCATGAAGATGACAAGGCGGAGAGGAAATGACTTTAGGGGAAGTAAAACCAGTGTGACACTTACAGGTTTTCCGAGGGCCAACCCTAAGCATACATATACACACACACAAAGCCCCCCTAGTAGGGTTTGGCTCTGTTCCAGACCCCAAGGGACAAAGGAAGGGTAGCAGTGGTACAATAATGCTTTCAGTGGGCAAAGAGGTAAACACCTGTTACTGCTGGCTGCTTGCCAGAGGGAGGCTGCTGGAGGAGTTCTGGGGGATGGCAGAGCCTTGTGACCAAGTTCTTTGTGGACTCACCCTGGTTAAAGAATAATAGGGTGGAGCCCATCCTACCAAGCTCATCCCTGAGTCCCTGTCACCAGACAAACACTCTTCCTTCTCACATTGGCTGTTGGCTGTAAGCGTACCACCAGCATCTCGTCCTTGGCAGGGGTCTCCTGCACCTGGCTGTTTTTTATCTTTTTATGCATACGCTGCCTTTATTTAATAAATATTGTACTTATAGCCCTTCCTCCAGTCCTAAGCCATATGTATTTCAGAAGGGGCCATCTTAGAATTCAGGAATGCAGTTCCAGTGGTGTCTTTTCAGCCATCTAGGAATCAAAGCTGTGTATGCTAGTTGGGTAAGCTTGGCAAGTACAAGTCAACTAGCCTGTCTGCCTTAGTTTTCACTTCTGTAAATGGGGGAAATAGTGTTTGCTTCACAATGTGTTATGAGGACTAAAATAATCAATGTAGGGAATGTTCTTCCAACAGGGCCTGGCTCACAGTAACCACCTGATATGGGCTGCTTGCTGCCATCACTATTACTACAGAAGCACTTTTAGAAATGAGCTATTTACTGCACTCTCTTTCTATTTAACAGATGGGGAAATTGATGGTCCAGAGGAGGTAAGTGGCCTACCTGAGTTAGTTTTCTGTGTTACATCATGAACCACCACAAAAGTAGCAGGTTACAACAACACGCATATACTGTCACAGAGTTTCCATGGAGTCTAAGCACAGCTTAGCTGGTCTTCTGCTTAGGGTCTCCCACAGGTGTTATTAAGGTGTCAGTAAGGGCTGCAGTTTCTTTGACCCACAAGTCATCATCCATACTCATTCATTTCTTTGAAGCTGTAGAACTCATGGCACCTTGTATCTTCAAAGCCAATTGTTTGAGTCAGGTCCACCCAGGATTACTAACTCAAAAATCAATTAATTTGGCACATTAAATACATATGCACAATCCCTTCACCTTTGCTATCTAATGTAACCTATCATAAACATAGCAGCATCCTATCATCCCACACTATAGGGGAGGGAATTATAAAAATTATCTATGCCAGCAGGAGAGAACTTTTGGGAACCATCTTGGAATTCTGCCTACTCCCCAAAGCCATGTTGCAAATTATTGGCAGGGGAAGATCTGTGTTTGGTGTGGTTTCCTGCTCCATGCAGGGATCAGGGTTTCAGCAGCCTAAGAAGATTGGCAGATCACGAATAAAAATGGCCCAATATTATCCAGAATCAATATTTCATTTTTTGCTCAATTCTCAGAAATAATATTGCATCAATTAGTGTTAGCTCTTAAGACCAACTAATCGCCTGGCCCAAAAGACCAAAAATCGTATGTTCTCCCTCATATGCGGACATTAGATCAAGGGCAAACACAACAAGGGGATTGGACTTTGAGCACATGATAAAAGCGAGAGCACACAAAGGAGATATGAGGATAGGTAAGACACCTAAAAAATTAGCTAGCATTTGTTGCCCTCAACGCAGAGAAACTAAAGCAGATACTTTAAAAGCAACTGAGGCCAATAGGAGAAGGGGACCAGGAACTAGAGAAAAGGTTAGATCAAAAAGAATTAACCTAGAAGGTAACACACACGCACAGGAAATCAATGTGAGTCAACTCCCTGTATAGCTATCCTTATCTCAACTAGCAAAAACCCTTGTTCCTTCCTATTATTGCTTATACTCTCTCTTCAACAAAATTAGAGATAAGGGCAAAATAGTTTCTGCTGGGTATTGGGGGGGGAAGGGAGGGGGCAGAGTGGGTGGTAAGGGAGGGGGTGGGAGCAAAGGGGAGAAATGAACCTCTTTCCAGAGCTGACCAGCAAAAAAGGCTTCTGTTAAAGAATCCCCAGAATGGCTTGCTTGCCAGCTGATGGGCTTTTGGGAAGTGATTGAATCCTGAGGGCTCTGACCTAATGAATATATTAATCCCCAGATGGATTCATATTATTGGGAGGTGGTAAAATTAGAAGGTAGGGCCTAGTTGGGGGAAGAAAGTCACTGGGGGCGTGCTCTGGAAAGATAGACCTTTTCCCTCGCCACTTCCTGTCTCTCTTTGGTTCCTGGCCACTACAAGGCAAGCAACTTTGCTTCACCACGCCCTTCTGCCACAGTGTTCTGCCTCACCACAGGCCCAGAAACATGGAGTCAAGTGACCAAGGACTGAAAACAACTCCTGTAAGTTGTTTCTCTCTGGTGTTTTGTCACAGTGGTAAAAGTCTGACTAATACAGCTTCCAATGAATTTTGCCTCCTGCCTTTCTGCAGTTGACTCTCAAAGTAAATAAGGATGACCTATTACCTATGACTAATAAGATATTATGAAAGGGAAAGGGTGTGACTTCCAAAGCCATTGTAGCTTCTACCTGGCTCTCTTGGATCACTGACTCTGGGAGAAGTCAGCTAACATGCCATAAAGACACTCAGTCAGCTGTGTAAGTCTATGATGTGAGGAACGGAGGCTTCCTGTCAACAGCCAGCACCAAGCTGTCAGACATGTGAGCCCACCATCTTGGAGGTATATCTTCCAGCCCCATCAGGCTTTCAGATGACTGCAACTCTAACCACCATCTGGACCTCAGCCTTGAGACCTTCCCTGCCAGAATCACCAACTAAACTACTCCCGAATTTCTGATTCATGGAAACTATGAAATAGTATTTCTGTCATTATAAGCCCTGAAGCTTGGGGACAGTTTTACACAGCAATGGGTAAGTAAGTACTATAGAAGCCTTCTGGAGCTAATACTCTACCCAAATGCTCAGGTCTTGATCTATAGTCACAGACCATCCAATACAGAAATTTCAGGGACAGTGGAAATGTTGTGTGTCTGCACTGTCCAGTACAATAGCCACTAGCCATGTGTGGCTACTAAGCACTTAGGATAAGGCTAGGGCAACTGAGGAACTGAATTTTTATTTTGAATTTTTTTGGGGGTACTGGGGCTTGAACTCAGGGTTTATACCTTGAGCCACTCCATCAGCTCTTTTTTGTGATGTTTTTTTTCAAGATAGGGTCTTGTGAACTATTTGCCAGGGCTGGCTTTGAACCACAATCCTCCTGATCTCTGCCTCCTGAGTAGCTAGGATTATAGGTGTGAGTCACTAGCACTTGGCTCTATTTTTAAGCTTTTAATTGAAGTAACACAAGTGACCAGGACCATAGATCCACTCAAGCCTCACAGGACCCAGGAGATAAAGTGTAGCAGAATCTCAGGAGGAATTTGAGCTCACATGGGACTTGAGACCCAACTCACTAAGACCCTCAGAGGGGGTTGTGAAGACCGAGCAGCCCACAGTGAAGGGGTCCTGGGCAACATAAATCCTCTGATGGGCACTGTGGTATGAACAACTCTCGAGCCTGACTGCCTGGACTCTACCACCTCTACCACTGGTAAGTTGTGTAGCTTTGGGGGCGTTATTCATCGTTTAGATGCAGTTTTCTCATCTGTAAAATGGGTCTGCTAATAGCATTTACTTTGTGGAGCTGTCATGATGGCTAACAGGTTCAAGTGTAAAGCACTGAGAATGGGTTACAGGACATGGTATGTGATGTGAGTACTCTCAACTCCTCTTAATGTCCTTTTCCCCACCCCCAATAAAGCACTGGGCAACTTGATAGGCCAGGGGAAAGCCAGCAATGTCCAAGGACCTGGAATTAGGGTTCGACTCTACACAGACAAGTTAAGGGCAGGTTATCCCTTTGGTAAAGTGATCTTCACCACTTCACAGGGCTGTTATAAGGAGCATGAGAGACTGATAATGGTATTTTTAGAGCCTGCCAACCACAGCACCTGCAGAGGACAAGCAGGTGACGTGAGTGAAACAAGGGGAGGCTGTGGCATGACAGAGCCATGTCTAGGAAGGTGTCACCTCTCATCCATACCCACTTGTTGCCATTCAGGCCAACCGTTTCCAAATTGTGATTTTGGTACAAAATCAGAAAAGTGAGGAATCTGGACTTCAATGAGGAACATCTTGATTTCTATATAGATGTCAACTAATTTGAGGATTTTTGTGTTTCAGTTTTTCATTGTGTACAACTTGTAGTGTTTCCTTCTGCTATAGAAAAGGGGAAATGAGCTGTTCTAAAGGAGTAGCTTCTCTCAGCAGTAGAGTCCTCTGAGCTCAGGATCAAAAGAGAGAAAATGTGTATTTAAAAAAAAAAAAAAGGATTTTTGTGTTTGTTTTTAAATATGGTGCTGCCTAAACAAAACACTGAGGCAGGCCTGATATGCCATCTAAGTCACCAGGACGTATGATCTGACATCTTCCAACCCTGTCCCCCCAGGACGCGCTCTGCCTTCTTACACCTCTGTCTCTGCATCTGGCATTGTGTAAGAAGTTTAGTCAGGGAGGAATTTTCTTTTTATTTATTTATTTATCATATGTGCATATAGTGCTTGGGTCATTTCTCCCCCCTGCCCCCACCCCCTCCAGGGAGGAATTTTCTTGTGCTTCATTGAGTCAAGGAGAACAGAGCCCAATTAGAAGGCCTTATTACAAACTTTAAAGTAACAAAGGCAGGCAATCTAGAAAGTACCAGGTTTTATTATCTTTTTATCAAAAAAAAAAAAATCAGTAACAGACAACAGTGTGAGAAGGGGCTACAGAAAAGGTGCTCATTCCAGCACAGCCTGAGGAAAAGGGGACTGGGGCCAGAAGAAGACCCAGCCAGCTGGGACCCTGAGCTGGGGTAGTGATGAGTGCTAATAGCCACTGGCTGTAGTGAAGGACGATGAGTCCTCACACACACACCCCCTAACTCCCGCCAGTGGAGCCAGAAGACACTGGCTAAGCCAACAGGTCTCCCCTCTGCAAAAGGATGACAGACCCCAGCTGGGGCGTCATCGCCCTCCTCCCTGCCCCTCCCCTTGCCCAGGGAGACAAAGGTTATCTCAGCAAAGCTGAGCTATGACTTCCTAAGCCAGTGTAGGTTTCTAACACAATGGATCTAATCTATGGAAACACTGTCTCTGCAAGGTCAGAACAGTAGCCATGGGCCACATGTGGTGACCAAGCACTCAAAATGTGGTCAGTGCAACTGCGGAATGGATTTCTAACTTTACACAATCTGAACTGACCTGATTTAAACAGCCACATACAGTTACTGCACTCCTACAGCCTGGAGGGAACAAATCGAAGGAACCCTTCTGCTGGGCCCCGTGCAGAAGGCAGAAAGAGGGTTAGAATCACCTACCCTTAACCACTCCAGTCCACTCAGAAGGCACCAGGAATGGGGCAAGAGAAGGGGAGAAAACCCTCCCAGCCACACGAAAACTCACTCACTCAGCCAACCAGCCAACATGAAACTGGAAATATCACACTATATCCTGAAAAAATATATTTATCTATTTGTCTAGAACCAAGGGAGAATAATAATATAACACAAGAACACAGACGCAAATACCTTACCATTCTCTACATTACATTTTGAGATCTGCTAGAAAACTATGTTTCAGCAAAAGCTATTTCTTAGACAAAGAGGCTTCAGAAAGGGCCAAGGTCATAAACAGGGGAATGTGAAGTATTACCAAGAACAAAAAAAAAAAATGGATAGGGGTGTATAAAGAAAGAAGAAAAGGGAAGAGGGAAGGAGAGGCCCTATCTAAAGCTATAAATAGTAAAAAAAAAAAAAAAAAATTAATAAAAATCATATCTCCGGCTCTTCTCTCATTTTCAAGATACAAACAGAAACAAAAACAAAACCATTAAATACAAACCTAGCACATGCAGTGGAAATGACCACAATAAGAACATCTCCCCATCTCCACGTTTGCCCAGGCACACACACTCTGCACAAAGGAATGAACCATTAAAAAAAAAATAGATTTACAAATAGTCTACAAATCCATTTCAAAGAAAGCTTTCTGCTCTTCTTCCTGTGCTCCACCCTCCCTCCCCGCCGGCCAAAAAAAAGGTGGATTTCTAAGAAGTCACTTGAAAGAGCCTAGAATGGCCCAAGGTAGAGATTCCCGTAGTGTGAACAAGCACCCATGGATGGACACACACCTCGAGGTGCAGGGGATTCTAGTTCCTTTTCCTGATCCTGGGCAAAAGGACAGGTTATGCAAGAGGGGAAGGAGGCAGCCTGGGCAGACTTCTAGCCAGAATTCACATAAATACCCCTTTGCCTCTGCCTTCAGGGGGGCCCTGGATGAAGCAAGTTCAGTATAGGCTCGAAACTGTCCTAGATTCTAATCTGAAAATTTCTTTAAATGACAAGATCCCAGGCTTGTCTTCAGGAAGGCCAAGCTTAACTCCATTCTTCTGCCGGGGTAACTGAGGCCAAAAGAATCAAGAAGAGTGAAGGCAGCACAGTAGAAGACGACGTCTCTTCTGATGCTAGAAAGGTGATCAGAGCTGGAGACACTGACAGGTCAGTATTAAGGTGCCCTCCCCCTACTCTAATGCCCACCATTCACAATCCTTTGGCTTCCCTCCCCACTGAAGTCCAAGCAGTGCCCCTGGAGGGTTCATGCATAGAATTCGTTGGTGGGGGCTTTTTTGTAGATGGGTTTCTTGCCCAGGTCGTAGCTGCCTTCGTCCTTCTTCTTCATGCGGTACACCAGCAGCAGGATCAGGAACACAGCAAAGAGGATGCCCACAACGCCTCCCACAATCAGAGCTGGAGAGGAAGAAAGCAGGAACCAGAGTGAGAGTTGCTCTTCAGAACCTTGGGCTGCACGCCCTCTTCTACCCAGTCAGTTCTCTGGCAGCCAGACATCCTCACCATCACCGTCATCCATGCCCGGAAAATGGCACTTTATTAAATTTGACTCTTATGACCTCTGTTGTGACAAGGGGATCACTAGGCATTATAAGTCACTGAGGACCACAGACTAAGGTAGACCCTAGAACAAAGCCACCATTTCAACCCACATCTGCCTGAGTCCAAAGCAGAGGCTCTTGCCAAATACCAGGCAGAATCCCCAACAATAGCTTAGCACTAGGTCAGAAACAAGAATGATGGCAGGCTGCAGAAACCCCCAGGGTCCCATCTGTCCTTAGCACACAGCAATGCTCTCTGGCTTTCCCTGTGTGTACCCATATGCATCTGGCCTACGTGACAGTAGATGAGCACTGCATTCTACATGCATGTGGAACATACTATTTTGTGACAGATAATTACATGGTTTGTTAGCTATTATACAGACTGTCATGGTTTATGTTTCCACGTATTGCTCAGAGACTCTAACTGGCTTCCACTACTACCTACTGGCTGCGTGATTTGAGGCAAGCTTCTTCATCTCTCTCATTGCAAAGTGAAGTTGTAATACCTTTCTCATATTTTGTCCCACAGATTAAATAAATTCATTTACTTAAAGTGCCTACAATAGTGCCTAGTACAAGACTCATAGTCTTTGTGGTTTGTTGCTATGTCTCCAGCATTCTGAACTGGGCCTGCACAACACCAAGTGCTTAATAAATGGTGCTCACAGTTCAGCTCACTGAGGAGTGCCTGGCTGGTGTCAGACAGAGGTGGGCTTCTCGCTTGGGTGAGCATCTGTTCTGTCCTCACACCAGGTGGCTTGAATGACTCATTTCTGTTTGTTAGGGGAAGGGATGGCTCACAGAATCTTAACTGTGGCAGATTGAGTCCCCTAATTTGGTCTTACTCAAGCTAAGAAGATTAATTTCCCATCCCTGCACACACTATAAACCTATGCATAGAACAGGGCAGTGGCACGGAGGAGCTAAGTAAGGTTCTTTTCTTTCTTGGCTAAAATCCTATAAAAAGCAGCAATGAAGTGCCTCCAGGAGGTGCCAGAAAAAGCACATGGAATATCAGGCATCAGCCTCATTCCTGTTTCCAGCACGTTTTCCTTTGAAAGCCCCCGTCCTCTGTCAGGCCCTTGGTCTGTGCTGGGATACCCCCAGAGTCAAGGTCCAAGTATGGGCTGGGAGTCAGCTGTGCTTCCAGGTCCAAACACCAGATCCACCACCTTCTGGCTTTATGCCTTTGGATGAGTTATTTAAACTCTGTTTCAGGTTGTTTGTAGGGCTAAAAGGGGCACAGGAATCATGGCACACAAGAAGCACTTACTAAAACTCCCGGTGCTGTTTCAGAGCTATTGGAATGGAGTGTCCTCCTTGACAAGCTGAAAACACATCTTTTCTCATTAGGGTCTTGCCCTGGCATAATTGTCAAATGGAACAGTGAAAAGATGATTTAACTTTGGTTCTTCTCTTGCTATGTGACCTGAAGCCTGGGCCTCAGATCCCCACAGATAAGAAACAGCAGTTTGGTCTAAATCAGTGATTTTTAAGGTTCTTTCAATAGAACCTTTGGCTGCTTAAAGCAAAATCTAATCAACAGATGTGAAACCTGTAGCCGGCAGGTCTAAAATATGCCACCTGAGAGTGAAACTCCATGGTTGAAGAAAGACAGGGGAGGGCTGTTAGCCCTAAAGTACTTCCACAGAACAGTTCGAAACTTCTAAAACTAACTGGTCTCTAAGGGCCCCTCTAGTTCTAAGAGCCCATCCTCTAAAACAAAAAGTGGTAAAGGAAAATTAGAATATTGGCTCAGGTATTAGGAAGTTAGGGGCAGGGCTAAGCAGGACCCAAAGTCACCTGGGGCTACAATCCAAGGGAGCCTCATCTGCAAGGTGCAGGTGAGATCCTTCACCTCTCCTGGATGGAGTTGGGACACTCATATTTGGCACAGGGTTTCTTCCCTATACCTCATCCCTCTTCAGAGTTCTTGGCCCGGCTGGTTCCCAGGAATCAGGATTTACCCAGCACAGGCCTGAAGAGGCCTCTAACCAGGCCTGAAGAGGCCTCTAACCAGGCCGGTTCATCCAGGCTGGTCCTGAGCCACAGCCTACGGGCCTGTACAACTGTGGAAAGTTCCTTCCTTCCTTTGACAACCAGCTGTGGAGACAACACCTAACCCTAAACCCCTCCCCCCCGCCCCGACCCTGGAGCCGCCACGCAGGGAGAAAGCACCATCCTAGCTGATGGCTCCCCAGCCAGGCTGGAACAGCCAGTTCGGAAGCCTCACCTGGGACAGAGGTTATTCACACCAGCACATTACAGTCGAGACCTCTCACCTGAGACCCCACATCTAGCCTCTCTAGACCTCAGTGTCCTAGTCTGTCACATAAAGAAACACTGTGCCCCATCTAGTGAAGGGACAATACAGAGTCAATGACAGATGACACTAATAATCAGAATAGTCCTTTACAATTTGCAAAGTAATTTCTTTTTATCTATTTTTTTTTTGGTGGCACTGGGGCTTGAACTCAGGGCCTCATGCTTTCTAGGCAGGCGCTCTACCACTTGAGCCACTCCACCAGCGCAAAGTAATTTCATATTTTGTTTTTCATGGACTCATTGCACCAACTCAAAGAGATATCTTCATACCCATTTTACAGACTAGTCAACCAAGGTACAACCTGTTCAAAAGCTTCTCGGCCAAGGTCACAAGGCTGCCAAGTGACAGAGCAGAGGGAAGAGAAGCCAACCTAATTCTAACAAGCCTCCAGGGTTTAAAGAGAAATTAATCATTCAATGATTAACACTCAGATGCCAAACCCAGGCTCGGAATGTGGTTTGAAAAATACTTTCACGGCTTAATGCAAAACAACAGCTCAAAGCCTATTCTTTAGGACCTTTGATATGCAGTTCTTCCCTCCCCCTTCCCTCAGCCAGGCTGCTGGCAGTTAGAGCTGCCCCTTAAGGGAGGTGTCGTTCTTCAATGCCCAAAGCAACCTAATGGGCCAGGGGCACCCTTGCCTGCAGGCCTTCCTCCCCCCTTCAAGGCTGGTCAGAGAGAAGCAAGGGTCCTTACCAGCCAGGACCTCAGTTCTCTCAAAGATGTTGCTGCCCTGGGCGGTACTGGACATGGACACCCTGTTGGGCACATCCTCATCCCCGTCAAAGGATGAACTCCTCTTGGGGACGACTTCATTCTCCTCCAGGTCCTTAGCTTCTGTGGGGACACGGCTCTCGGGCCCTGCCCTCTCAGGGATGTGGTTATTTAGAGGCACCTTTAAGAGGGAAAAGGAAAGATAAACACTGCGCACATGTGGGAAGGAACCCAGTTGGGGAGAGACCTAGGACAGAGGATGGGACATATAGCCAGGGGGAGAATCTGGACTGAACCATGTGGTCCCGGAACAGGAACCAACAACAACCTTGTAAAAATTATGCTATCCTGGACTGTTTTGGTACTCCTGTCCCAAATGGGAATGAATCTGAGCAAGGGCACGGGGAGGTGGACGGTCCCTCACCCCATTCCCTCACACAGCTGCAGGTGGGTACTCTAGAGTAAGCACTAGAGGGGATATGACAAAAACTTGGGATATGACAAAAACTTAGAAACTGCTTGCCCTTCAAGTTGGCACTTTTGCCTTGGGATCTGTCTCCTAAGAAGCTAATCAGAGACTGAGGGTCAAAGATGCTTGCCATGGTGTTTTAACTATAGGATATCAAAAATTATATTCTCACCAATAAGAGGAATCAGGTGAACCATTATATGACTTATAAATATGATGCAGACTTTTAATTAAGCAGGGAAATACCAAGGACTACTAGCAGTAGATGATGCAGTACACAGAACTGTATATACAATTTGCTATCAGTGCTGGAAAACAGCTACAAATACGCAGAAAAGGGGCTGCATTATCCCTGCAGGGAGGATGTGCCTGCTCCAAAATGAGCCCAAGGTCCCAGCAAAAAGTTTTTTTCCGGAATGGAGTCAGATTCTGAGTTGTTTTTGCCCTTGGGGAAAAGCAAGCAAGGGAGAGCAGGGGGAGCAAAGGCACACAGCACTTACCAAGGAGTGGATCACTTCAGGGAAGATCTTGGGGTCCTCTGTGTCATCTGTAAGGTCAGAATGGCTGTATGAACATGAGGTTCCTTATGCCCAAGTGACTGACCCTTTCAACCATGGCTGGCGGGAGTCCTACCTTACAATCCCATAAAAGCTCCAAAATCTGGCAACTGAGTATGCTATCCTCAACCTTAGTCACTAGTCTGAAAAATGAGGCTCTTAAGATTGTCTCCTGACCCTTTCACAGCAATGTGTGAGCAGTAGTTAGGCAGGTGTTCTGTCAGCTCCAAACCCTGGTTCAATAAAGTGCGGCTGCAGGGACCAGCAGCTCCCTGCGAGCTATTTACAAATGCAGACTGTCAGGGCCCAGGGCTAACCAAATCAGAATTTGCTTTGGATAAGATCCCCAGAGAATTCAAGTTTAAGAAGGAAGACTTTAACTGCAATATGAAATTCTACACATTGCTGTCTGGCTGTAATTCTAGATACTTGGGAGGCCAAGATTGGGAGGATGGTGGTTCAAGGCCAGTTGAGGAAAATAGTTCGAAAGATCTCATTCCAAAATAACCAGAGCAAGATGGACTGGAGGTGTGGCTCATGAGGTAGAACACCTGCTCAGCAAGTAAGAAGCCCTGAGTTCAAATCCCAGTCCCACCAGAAAAAAAAAATCCCTACACATTACAACATTAAAACATCTACGTGTAACCATGTGAGACAATGAGTATGTTTGCTCTACTCTAGCAGCCTCTTGCTATCTATGGTCTTAAATCATGTTTTAAACCTTAAACATATACAATAAAATTTCTTTTTAAAAATACACACACTCAGAGTTTCTGAGTGCTTGGTGGAAGCCAAGAGCTTTAACGTGGTCTGTCCCACACACTGATGTACAGTTATTACTACTCTCCCATTTTACAGATTAGGAAACCAAGGCTCAGGGATCACAATTGAGGTTAGAATTCAGGACTATGTGACGCCAAAGTTTAAATGTCAAATCATTAACATATCCCTGAAGATAGGAGAGATACCTCTCAGCAACTATCTGACCTGGAAGCCAGGAAGTCAAGACCAACAAAGCACTGGTCTGGCCCCAAGAAGCTGGAGTCCCTTTACCTAATCTGAAGCAAGGGTTTGCTCTTGGCTCTCTACCCACACCTCTGCCTACACATGCCCCTCCCACCCCACCCCACCCCACCCCACCCCACCTCCACTGAGCTAGTACTTTTCCTTTTCAAAGGATGAAAAACACTTTATGAGTCCTCCTACCCAACCCTTACTCTCCCCTCCTCCAAGGGAGGAGCCTATGAGGACAGGTTCTGGCTAGTGCCTGAAAAACAGAGATAGGAATGAATTCAAAGCAATACATAACTCACCCCAGGGTCTCTGGGATGGAAAAGATTAATCCAGTTACTTTTGTTTCCCCTTTTTAAGTGGAGGAGGGGTGCTGTAGGAAAATCAACATAAAAACCCAAGTCTCCAAACTTGATCACACTCCTCACTAGAGGGAACCCCATTCTCTGCAGCCCACATTCCCAGGCCTGCCAGCAGCCCTTCTGTACCCAGATCTCCAGAGCCAGACAACTCAAAGTCATCGGATTCCTCCTGCCCAGGGCCCCCAATATCCTCATCATCAGGTAGGTCTCCAGAGAAGTATCGTCCTTCCAGCAGGTCCTGGGGGTCGATGACCTCAGTCTCTCTGATCTAGGATGAAGACAGGAGAAGCATCAGCAACAACCCAGTCCCCCTCCAGCGCACTACAACAGCTGGGCCCCCAAGAGCCAGTGAAATGGGCATTCAGGGACTAACTAGCAGGGGATGAGGCCAGGACTGGAGACCTGGGTCCTAGATCCTGCTTCCCCACCCCCACCTCCATGTAACTTCATGTAAGTCTCTTTCCTGCTGTGGGTTAATAAAAATAATAAAAGCGGTAATAATCAAATTATTAATATTACTAGATACCATATACTGAGTACTTGCTACTGCAAGTACTTGCTACTGGCGGCTGCTTTTAATAACCTTGAGAACATGTTAAGCTCATTTTACAGTCGAGGACACTGGGCATGAAAGACTTCAAATCATTTTCTTTTGGTGACACAGCTGGCAGGCAGAGGAAGGAGGACTGCAGGCAGGTCTGCCAGACTTCAGGTCCAGTGCTTCCCAGGCACACGCACGCAGCTCCAGGATACTACACCCTAGGGTCCTAATTCACACAAGGCAGAGCGGGCTACTGATTCTGTTCTTGCTTGGTCAGGGACACCTTTCCCAGCTGAGTCAGCCTGGACTGGCACAGACAGGGCTAGCTCACTCACACCTCAAGACAGTCTCTGGCCAGCACACTGCTCAGATTTGGTGACTCAAGAGTGCATTCCTGAATTCATCTGTCTTCTAACACCCCCCACCCCCCCCCCGTGCCCTAATCTGTTCTGCTGCCAGCAACATGGATAACACACAGTTCCTGTCCTCCCAGACCGTGTCACTCAGCCTCTACCCCATGGTGACCCAGCTGTCACCACAGAGTCTGAGGTACACACACACACACACACACACACACACACACACACACACACAGCAAGCAGCTTTCAGAAAGAAAAGTATTCAAGGTCCAGGGAAGCAAAGAACTTTTCAAGGGCCCTAAGGACACCAGTTATTCTGCCTCCATCCTTTAGAACTCAGCTGAGTGGAAACAAACCTTCTTCCGGTAGGAAGCATTCAGATGCCCACTGCCTTTCCTCTCCTTGCTTCTGGACTTAGGCTTCTGTCTGCCCACAGAACAGTTCATTATTTCACTCTTGCCAAAGCCTATAACTGGAGGAGGTGGGGGTTTGCTTACAACCTCAGAATACAAGTTAAAGGCCCAGGGAGGTCTTATACTGCCTTTTCACCAGATGCGAGAGAATCTCTAAGGGCACACAATATTAGCTACACACGGCTTGGAGTAGAAAGAAGCCAGGTCTCTGTTTCTGACTGCCAGTGACACCGCCGGAATTCTGAGAAGGAACATCTGTCTGTCCATCTGTCTGTCACTGAGACAGGGTTTGAGTGACAGAAGAGATCCAGAAAAGTCACTTCTGAGAAAAGTCTCCTCCTTTACCCTCCCCACTGGCTTCAGGGGAGAGTGGGCAAAAGTTAACTGTGCCTTCCCTTCCACCCCACCCCCCACCCTGAGGGACAGGATGCAGGATTCCCAGAAGAGAGCAGGGTTAGGCTGAGAGGCAGGCAGCAGGGAGGCATCCCTCTATCCCAGAGCAGGGAAAACAATGCTGAGTGCTTGGCACACGTGGGGGTGGGGAGCTGGGGAGCCAGCAGGGGTTAAGGCCTGGTTAGGGATGACTTCATGACTTGGGAATCAGGAGCTGTTGGGCTGCTGGCGCTGGAATTCCAGCCCCCGCACACAGCCCTTGCCTGTGGCTTTGGTTTGGCAGAGCAGGGGGACGGCTCCTCTGAGATTGCATAAGTGCATATACCTAAGGCGGGGTCCCTGTGCTCCCATCTCCTGCTGCAAATTCCCCTGGCCTCTGTGGCTTACTCAGTGTCAGGCCTTGACTACCACTTGGCATATGTAGGTCCTCTTTTTAAAATTTTTTGGTTTCTTGAGATGGGGTCTCACTATGTAGTCCAGGTTGGCCTCAAACTCAAGATTTTCCTGCTTCAGGCTGTCAAGTGCTAGGATTACAGGTCTGTTCTGTATCACTCTGCGTGGCTCTTGTACATCCTCTTAATAGACCCTTTTGGCAGATGTGGAAACCAGAGCTCAGAAAGTAGTCACATCAGATAAAACATGGGTCACCTGTGCTTTTGACTATACACACATGAACACGTGCATGAATACATGTGTACACAGGGCCACCAGCCTACTCTAAGCTAGAAAGAAGTCCTATAAAGTGGGCGTGTCAAGTCCAGTGGGGTAGGCAGAGGGCTTAGGGGAGGAAGAAGGAGGGATGAGAGAGAGAAGGTGCTTTGGCCACTTGTTGACTGGCCTGAGGTGTCAGAGTGCAAACTCCTCAGGACAGGGTAAGTTTCCAGCAAGGGCCTAGAGACCTTTCCTATCCTGCTTTGTCGCCAGGAATGTTGGTTATGCATCCATCTTGTCCTTTTAGTATGTGAAAGTACTATATAGTTTTAAAACAACCCACGGGATTAACAGTGATTGACTATCAGCAAATACTTCCGTTTTATAGTGGAGAAATGAAAACTAAGAGAGAAGGAGGAGTGGGAAGACCTGGCAGTCAAGAGAGTAGCAAAACTGATTTATTTCCAGTTCAGCCCTCTGTTGGGCACCTGGTTATCCCTAACTCTTCATTTTTATAACAGTTTCCCAGAAGTGATGAAAAGTTAGTCTGAGGTTGCATCAGGGGTCAGTGGCATGACCAGGATCAGACTCTTGTTCCAGAGCTCTGAAAGGACAGTCTTCAAAGGCCAATTAGATGAACCCTCCTACAGCAAGTTAAGGGCTGTGAGGTAGCTGATGGGAGGACACAGGGAATTAAAGTCCCCTGAAGTTTTGGAGACACTCTGCCCCTTTCTAGCCCCTTCTCTGCTCACAGTCTCTGACAATAAACTCCCAAATGGGCAGGAGCCATTTAGGACTAGGTCGGCAATACAAGACCAAGCCCCATAGGATTCTTTTTTTTTTTTTCCCTTAGGGGTTGGGAAGGCACTAAGAGCCCTCTCTCCTCCACTTTCTTAACAGACAAGACCCATTCAGTCTGGGGGAGCTTTGAAGAGCCAGGCCACCCAGTAGCCAGGCCCAACCCTGACCAGAGAGGGACCCAGACCTGCTCCTTGCTAAAGATGTGGCTTGTTCTGCAAAGCTCACCCAACCCTGCCCAGGCACGTGTGTTCCCATGTGTGTGCATGCACAGACACCTTTCTGGACCCTCGAGTCTCCCCTCATCTTTGTCCCTTTCACAGACACACAACAGACTCACCAGCCGAGTAAGACAGTGGGTCTGGGTCCACAGACCCCACAGACCCCATAGTTAGTGGGCACCTGAACTGGTGCTGGGGAGTTAGAGATCCCTGATTTTTCCTTAGGCCATCCAACGAAAAGAAGAGTGGGTAGGTGTGCTTTTGTTTTATAAGAACTAACACCTGCCAACAGGAGGTATCTGGGGCCTCCAAGCCCAACCATCTTGTTTTATAACCTCTGAAACAGATTAGAAGCCAAGGAGTTCAATGTCGCCCAAGCAGCTGGCAGCAAGGCTAAGCTTAGAACCTAGTTTGCTTAACTCCCAGTTTGGAGTTGCCTTTCCTCCCTTTCCAGAGCCTTGGCTACCCTAAAGGTTCTCAGCAGGTACACAGCTATCACTCTATATGCTCCCATCTAGTCCTTAGGCTATCGCACAAAGTTAGGAAAAAACTACTAACCCTATCTCAAAGGTCTATAGCTTTTACCACCCCAGGAAAAGCATGGGGCTGGGGTAGCTAACATGTGCCAGGCACCTGCTGTGTTCTGTCTATATGAGCTCATTTGGTTGGCTCAACAATAAGGTGTTCTACCTGTTTTGCAAATGAGAAAAACTGAGGTTAGCTGAGCTATTTCATCCAAATACACAAAGTAGAAAACAACAGAGGCTAGGATTCAAACCCAAATCTTTCTCAAGACCATGCCCTAACCACAACCAACTTTTTCACTGCCATCCACTCTTCACCTCCACCCTAACTGAACAGCCCACGACATACTACTGTCTGGGCCAGGGCTCCAGGGTACCCCTTCTCTTGCCCAGGAGTAAACAAAGGTGAAAGTGATATTGCTTAAACAATAGAACAGAAACTTGGCTGGAGCACCAGGGAGGAGTTCAGGGTCAGGGCTTGGTTAACTGTGAACTAATAAGAGCCTTCCCCCTTACCTGCCACCTCCCTGGGGAAGCAGGGTCAGGGCCACACTTGATCCTGCTTTCAGGAGTTGAGATCAGAAGGGTAGTAACTGAGCAAGCCAAGTTGAGGGGAGGAGGATTGAGTACCCTTGGGCTCCAACTGCCAGACTTCCTGGTGATTCTAGAAGGAGATGGGTACATAGCACAGTCACCTCCTCCCCGTCCCCATTTCCCAGAATATGTAACACCCACAAGCAAACCATAATCCTACCCTTTCCTAACTATGATTCTGGGAATTCATTCTGGCTCTTAAATCCTCAATTTCCTCTTTTGAAACCAGTGCTGGTAGTACCTTGCAAAGTGATGAGGATTAAGGGAAATGAGTTAGGGTATCCAAGGGACCCAGCATGTGACCTGGTACACAGCAGGTGCTCAAAGAGTAGTGGCTATTATTAACCCCCACCTGCTTTCCTCTGGCTGGGAGGATTAATGCTCAAAGGGTCAGAGACCTGAGGACACTTGCAGAAGCAGTTCCAGTGCTGGAAAGAAGCCAGGTCACCTGACGGGTAGGTACTTTACAAGCCACTGAGGGACATCCCCTATAATGGCTGTTATTTTGCTTTCGAGACCAAAGACTTTCAACAGCAAATTAGGTTCCTTCAAACTGTGCAAAAGCAAGACTCGGAAATGGGTAGAAACCTGTCCACAGTCAGAGTTTTGAGCAACATATCTGAAGTAAATGGAAACAGGAAATCTACATTTTTCCAGAAGGAGTAGAAGGCAGTAACCAGAGACATCTGAAACTGTATTTGGGACCTGGATCCTTGCCTTGCCTTGGGGCAAAAAAAAAAATCTAGAAAGCAAAAGGAAATCACACACCAATCT